TCATTTTGATGCTACACTGACTTGTAATAGGGTGAATGGTGCCTCTGTCATTCCCACTCTGTGCCCCGTACACCTGTTCTTGCACTATGTAACTTTGATTCTGGTGAAACTGCATCATATTTTATGGAGAAAATGTTTTCTGCTTTTCCCTCTGATGGCCTCTGGCTGCTTCACCTCAACTCGTTGTGATTTACAGAGTTTTCTGATGGATAGAAAAGTTTACTAGTTGCTAAAAAAAAGTGAACTGGTAAACTAGTTATCTCAATCTGTGATGCCTGGGCTGGGAGCTCAAAGCACCGCGGGCGTGTTGGTATATTTACACCTTACACAGGTTTTCAGGCCCAGGGCGAGGCCAGGGGGGGAACGCTGATGGGGACCAGAGTAAGAGTAAGCTAGAAAGAGAAAAAGAGAGACTGACCGAGCAAGAAGAGGAAATCTCAGACTGGCTTTTAGTTGTTGGCAAGAGCTTTGTAAAAATAAAAGGCTGCAAGACAGACACTGTTCTTGCTGTTGGACTATTAAGTAGGCTAGAACCTGATGTAGATTGGTGCAGTCCAAGTGTGGTTTTCAACCCATTTATCTTAGTGCCCCCAGGTTGGATACGAGGCATCAGTGCAGAGAATTGAGAATTTGGATGATGCAATGAATAGCTACTTGACAAACAAATACAAGTAAGTGGTGCTTCCTGTTTAAACTAGCTGGTTATTTAGCTGGCACACGAGCTATGATATTATGTTGATTGAAACAGCTGCAAAATGAACACTGGAGCATCAAAATGGACAGAGCCAATTTAAAAGGGTACAGATGAATTTTCTGTGCTTACATTCTTGATAGGTTTGTTGTCCCCAAACAACCCGTGAAATAACTTGTTTTCATTTTGTTTTTCCACGCCCCACCTGGCTCTGCGCCATAGCCTTTAGCACCGCTCATACATTATTACATTTCTTCTCATTTGTTCTCACTCGTCAAGTCACCATCTGATGCATTAATGCAAGTTAACTTCAGGGATTTTTATCACTCCTCATTTTTATTTATTCTTTTGTTTAAATATTATAAAAAACACACGCACAGTACACTCCGTTGTATGTTGAGAATGAGATTATTCAAAACAATAGTTTGGCCTTTATTGATGAGTGTTTACAAGAGAGTTTCTGAGAAGCAACTCTTTGTTTTGAAGACAATCCTCAAAAGTCAGACAGTCAGGCATTTGACCTTTTCTCCAAAGCTTTGACAGCTGACAATCAAACTACGGTAATAGGCGAAGGTTCACATCTGGATCACATCTCTAAGACACATCTCTGAGATAAAAGGGTTTCAGCCTGAAGACTGCCAATTAGTGGAGATACTTTCAGTCCATAATTGTTTTATAATACCACTGATACACATTCTTCCTCCAGGCTACTTGACAGCCAATCATTAACATGAAATGTATTTAGACATCGATCTGTCTTTGATTGGTTGTCTGTTTGTGTACATATGTGCACAATATTTCATAAACCAGAATATACTTAGGGTCTAAATCTGTAATTAAGTAGTTTAAATAATGATGTTGATATTTCTTGAAATATACTGTATATATATATAGCGACTCTCTCAGTAAGCAGCACTTAGCTAAAGGTGGCACTTTAACAATCAATAAATCATCATTTATTTTTAGATATTAGTTTAACTGCCACATACAAACAAGACAACAGCTCACAGGCCTCCCTGCTACACCAGGCCTGTGTACTGCTGTTTACATTGTTCGCCTCCAGAGGATGGATTTTATGAGAAATGTGATTAATGCTTTACAGTAAATCCAAAAAAAGAGGGCCAGTGTTCTGCCGATGTAAACAGAGGTCAGGCCTCCAAAGTTTTGTGCAATACGGACGTGAAATGAGCGGAGAGACTGCAGAAAACACATCCAGCATGTTTACCTACCTCAAAACATAATGTACACAGAGAGACACAAAGGGGAAGGAAGGAGGACAAGACCAAAATCACAATTTTGACGGTAAGCAGCTGATTTAGCGTAAAAGGTCATTTTCAGAGGCACTTGTACTAATAGAACTCAATTACGTAATTCCATCACTACAGAATTTATATAGATGTTTTGTCAGGAAGCACCCCCTCAAATAATAGAAATAGGCTACTTATGAAGACATTTAAAAGAAGAAGAAGAAGAAGTAGAAAAGGGCATACTATAGCAACATATGAAAAACTACAAGTAGTCTGATCTCTCTTTGAATTCCTTTTGTAGAAATTTAGAGTTAATTAAGTTAAATTGGCCAAAAAATATAAGCAAAATAGTCATATGGTTTACTGTATAGCACATTTTACATGACATTGTATCCTCATCACTCAGTCAGGCTGGAGGGAACAGGCTTACAGTAAGCAGATGCAGTTTAGTATGATACAAGCACAGCTGACCATCAGCCTTAAATGTCCAGAGACTCCCAGGAGTCTTTGAGGAGCCCTGCCAAATGGCTACTCTTCTACTAATTAGGACTGCTCATTACTCATCCCTCTAACAGAACTGCAAAACAGTCACTCGTATAGTTCAGATTTAACTGTTCACAATGTAGAAACATTTACAATTCATCACTTCGGCAATCTCTGATTTCTTGGCACAAACCCCGATCAGGCTGGTGTCATTTGCAGGTTATCTATTTGAAGGTTAAATTACACAACCACTGGGGTAGATACAACGCTCACCTGTGCAGGTGAGAAATGCTCTTACCTGTACCACTCCAGTCCTCTATCATAGTTCCTGTCAAAGAAGTGCGTCTCGGTACCAGCCGCTCGTACGTCGGGATGAATTCTTATGAACTCCAGAACAGCTCTGGTTCCTCCTTTTTTCACCCCAACTATGATGGCATTTGGTAACTTTTTATTCCCAAACTTTAAGTTGCCCATGGGGGGACTGGGCGTGTCGTTCCCAACGTTGTGGACAGTCGAAGGAGGTCTTTGGTCGGTTTTCAGCCGAGATGCCTCAACACTACTCGGTCTCGCATCCAACGGCAAAACGCAAGATAGCGATTTCTGAATGCGCTTTTTGGCTCCATCAGCCAGGACGCGCTGACAGCTGGGCGTCGGATCACCTGAATGTTGCATGATGGTATCGGCAGGAAACAGTGCACAGTAGCACAAATATGATAGGAAAAGGGATAATAAGCAGATGGATGTTCTTGTGAGCCGATGTGAGAAGGGAAGAAGTCGACTGAAGAGGAGCACGCATGCCATCTCTCCATTGATATGAACAGTGCATGATTTTCTAATTGATTTTTGTATCGTTCCGTCTTTTCTGATTTTTTTTGGTCGCTGAAGTGGCCGAACTATCCACTGTCTCCAAAAGCAGATAAACCAACAACTTTTGCGCCTCGTCAGTTGCTGAACACTTCCATCACTTCACCGCGGAGTATATTAACAAAATCCATCGGCGTCCCGTCTCCTCAGGTCGTTAATTGAGAAGGTATCCGTCGATGCGCACTCAGTTTGGAAATAACATCCTCCTGTAAAACTCCTGGACGCCTCCATGGTCATCGCGCAAAGCAGAGGGAGTGCGCTCTCTGACAGCTCCAAACCGGCTGAGCGACAGGAAATATTTCTACACGGTGACGTCAGAGCATCTTTGCACCCCCCCCCCCCC